GTCCTAGGCTAGGGGTGGGCAAAATATGGCCCGTGGGCCAGATCCAGCCTGCCTGGCCATTCTATCCAGCCCGCAGGGGCCCTAAAATATTTAGAAAATTAGTATTTATCTGCCGTGGCTGCCTGTCAAAGATGACAGGAGCCAGCAGCAGTAGGGCCCAGGGGGAGCTGGCAGCAGAAATAAGCAGCTGCAGCAGCAAGAAAGCCCAGCCCTGCCCCGCCTTACTCCCAGCTAGAAGCCTAGCACAGGCTTCTAGCCTGGGACCCTGCAGCTGTTCCTGCCTCCCTGCACTGGAGAGGGAAATTCAGATGAGCAAGGGGAGAGGGAAGCAGGGGAAGACCACAGGAAATCATTCCAATTGTCAGGGTCGGGCCAGGCCAAGCAAGGCTGGCTCCTGCGGTCCCAGTGCTGCAGCCAGAAACCACATGGTGCTGGAGTGGTGGTGGGGAGCAGCAGCAGCAACGTGGGGAGCAGCAGCAGCAAGGTGGGGGCATGGGGCCCCTGCTAGTGTGCTGGGGCCAGCCCACGCCCCACCCTTGGCCCCCGCCAAGGGGGGTGGGGGCTGTGAGCAAACCCTCCCCCTCCACTCTTCCCACAAGTCTCCCCAGCCACCTTCCCCCCACAATCACAGCCCCCCACAAGCCCCATACCCATACACACCCCACACATCCACACACACATACCCACATGCTCCCCCACCCCACACACCCCATGCCTATCCACCCCTGCACACAACCCCCCCCACCCCACACACCCACAATATACAAAGGTTAGGGAGTGGGACTTCTGGTCCCAAGATGGCAACCAGGGGGCAGGGCACATGCCAAGGGGTGGGACTACCCTTGTGGCCCTCGATGGCTTGCCAAAACTTGGGAAGCGGCCCTCCACCCGAGGTAATTGCCTGCCCCTGTCCTGGGCACTTTCAGGAACCTAAGCAAGTGTCTGGAAACTGCTCTTTTGAACTTACATGACTAAATTTTGCCCGTCTTTTGACTTGCGTGCCCATATTCTCTATCAACCAGAGCTCCTGCAGCCAAAAACAGCTCTGCATTTAAAAAAAAACGACCAGCTAGTGTCAGAACCTTTTCCATATACCAATGAGCAGCACTGAAACTGACAAGAATTTGGAATTTTTGGCAGACAAATGTTAGTGTAGGTCTTTCAAAACAGAGGTCCTAGGAGCTCTTTTGAGATTTCACAGATCCTGTGATATTTCTTATAACTTCAGGGTCCTTCTTAATCTAACCCTTAGTCCTAAAAAATCTCTCCCTATGAAATTGTGCAATGTACAAGACAGCTACTACTTTTCTATAAAAATCTTTTTAGAGGTTTCTGCCAGACATGTTAAGAAACTTGGGCATAACACTGACTTGGCAACAAAGCTCTTTTGTATACATTTCGCATTTGTGTGCACGATGGGAACAAACAACCTTAACTCACATTAAGCAAACCTTCTGCAAATCACCATATTTTGAACAACATTGTCAGAGAAACGTTTTTGTCTTTGAACAAGCTGTCACAGTGATTCTAGCTGTCACTAAGCTTTGAAAACATAAGGAGCAAAATATGTACCACAGACTAGACATGTCTGAACTCTCATACTCCGTTGACTGATGAAGGGCTCCCCTTTCTTAGCTATCACCCTATACACAGTATTACAGGCACCGGAAGCAGACTGAACACCACTTTTAAGCTGGCAAAACACCTGTTCTTATATCTGGCAATTAAATAGTGTGACCTAGCAATGAAAATGTTGACATTATATTTCCAGGGTCATGCCCTGAAATCCTGTTAATATTGTACCTTTAAGTTTCTATTAATCAGTAATTGTATTGGGGTAAAATGTTACCTCCTACTGCTTTTCCAGAAGTACAGAAAGATATAATCCAGTCAAGGGGATACGTTTTTTTAAAAGTAAAAATACCCACAAGTTCAAAGACAAATATCTCAATCATAAAAATGTGGTTTATCATTTTTGACTAATCACATTAGGAGGAAGGGGTTGGCTATATCAGGAGACCAGCTTACTCCCTCACTGTCTACAAAGTAGCTCCTGTACCATAGCCAGTGCCCAAAGCTTTAAACTGAGCTGTAAGGGACAAGAGTCAAGCCAAATATCAAATATCACTATTTCCTTCTCTAGTCATTAGAGATCGGCATTATCTCACTTAATTTCTCTCTTCCTCCCCCACCCTTTCCTGTAATGCTAACTTGGGAGGCACCAGGAGCTACAGCACTTAAAGCTGTCCTGATTTTGAAGAATTTTCTTTCCACTCTGAAAGCTCAATAAGCATCTTAAACAGTGATGTTTTAGATCTTTTAGTTACTTGTTGAGGAATTAGGAGGGAAGGTGCAAGAACTGTGTTTTGCTGTTGAATGCGAGAAACAATGGCCCTGTGAGTGGGGGGGGGGCGGGTGTCAAGAACCCCCTCCTTTTTGTGTAGTTTTTCTAATACAGCTGTTACTGAAGGAAGTCTCCTGCAGATTATACTCCAGTATTTTTGACTAACAGAACAGAGTTAAACTACATATTACTTAAAAGTAATAATAATTATAAAAAGCCTCCTAAAAGGCCTTGGTTGTTTAAGAATAGGATTTAAAATCCAAGCGAATATTTTAAAAGTTGAGGTTCCACAAATAACCTTAACCATATTTATGTAATTGAAAAACAGTAATACAATACCAGCATTTACTTTCAAAAGGAATTAATAGTTCCCCATCACCTTTGTATTGTGTCAAGCATGTCACACTATGGATATACCCAAGGCTCACCTTGAGCAAGTAACATATTGCAAGACAAACTTTTAAAAAATGTAATACAGATACAGACAAAGTTCGCTAAAACACTGTAAGTGGTAACAGAGAAATTACAAGTGTTTTATCTTGAGCACCTGTGCTTTCTAAAATTGATTAGGACTATATAATCATTCTGTTTTCTTAAGCAGCAGGTGGTATAGCTAAAAGTATTTCTATGGAAGAACATTAAATCCATCTTACTATTGACCTAAAGTCAGAACACAGAAAAAGAAACCACTTCTTCAAATCTTAGGAAGGATTCATTAGTTTCACACCAATTATCATTGCTTAACAGAGGCTACTAAAATATATGCTTTTAAAAAAGCTTTATGTGCAATGATGAAAGCTCCTATTACATTGGCACATTTACGTGAACTGCCTGCTTAACTATCAGATTTTTAAGCAGGAATTAAGAATGAGTTTTCCATGTTTCTCCTAAATAATACTATAATCCTTACTCAGGCAAGGTGCTCATCAGTTTCAGAGTAAAGACTTCATAAATCATCCTTCTTAGATATATCTGGACTCCTAGGCTATACCTCAAAAGGAAGATAAATACATCAGCTATAGCAGGGGTTGGCAACATTTTTGAACAGAGTGCCAAAAACACCAGCTACTTCGACTTGTAAGAAGTTGGTGTGCCAGGGCAGATGGTGGGGGAGCCACAAGGGGCTGAATCCTCGTTGCGGCAGGGCAGTCCCAGCCCCTTCCCTGCCATCTTTCCTGAGGTGCACGTGCCAAGGAAAATGCCTGCGCGCGCCAGGCTCTGGCACCTGTGCTGAGTGTTGCCTACTCCTGAGCTATAGCACAGAGAAAGAATCTCAGCTCACCCTTCCTTGGGACATCAATGTGTTTTGACCAAGTACCAGATCCACAAAAGAATGCAGGTACTTAAATATATCAAGACGGCACCAATGAGAGCCTTTGAATGTCTGCTCAGGTGCCACACTGTTCTTTAGGTGCCAAAAGTTTCCAAGGCACCCCAACTTGCACCAATGACAGCAACACTACCACTCAAGTTTTGATATCAATAAGCCTTACATTCCCTTACCTAGCTCCAGGTTGGGGAGCAATCCAGCAGGTAATTTCAGAGGACAGGTAACAGAGCTTTCCTTTCAGGAAGACCCACAGCAGAACAGCTTTAACAGGAGGGACTAGCGGATCCTCAGCTCAACATAGCCAAAATTCAGGTAGATAAAACACTCTCCTGATAAGACAGACCTGGTTTCACATCCCTACCAAAATCCTGCCCATTCTAGTGTTGAAATCGCTAAGCAATTAGTGCTTAAGCTAAGTTATAGCTACATAAAAGAATTCAAGGCTAAGAAATCTGTGCAAAGGTTGACACCTACATCTAGTCCAGAGTTAGACACACAAGTCCTTTTGAGGAGTAGGTTTTAGGTCCAACTCCTCAGCAGTTTTTATTGGCTTAGAGAGATCCACACCTAGCTCACTGACCTCCAAGGATCTCAGTGTCCTTCCACAAATGCCCTTCAAGCCTACAACACACTGAATAAGGAGCCTCCGTGCCTAACTCAGCACTGAGGACTCCAGTGAAGCATGGCAACACTAACATCCCTTTGTGAATCCAGCTCTATGTTGCTTGGGATATTCTGCATTTATTCTGTCAGCTGTGCACACACACCCACCCACACACCCTCTCCTCACTATGAAAGGCCCCTGCCCTTGGACGTGCATGTGTACAAACTCCCTTGTGCCTATGGAGATGCATCAAAACAGAGCCCCAGTGAAATCAATAGGGGTCTGCCTGCATACAAGCAGTAGCCATTTATCATCTTTCAACAGTAGTGTCTAAGGGCTGAGAGTCTACTAGGAATTACAGGTACTTAGTTTCATAATCCATCATTTAATGGTTAGTACTTCTTTCTCATACAGAAAAAAGTAAAAATCAATATGAGCACATATCACCAAAGATACTCAAGTACCAAGCAGAAATAATACCTTCACTTCTACCTCTGTGCTTCAAAACACAGTTGTAGAAATCAACACTCAATCCGATCCTTCACTAGCTGTGCTCCTAGCAGTAGTTACTCAAAATATCAACACTATTTTTTTTTAATCAAACAGCACTGTGAAGAGCCATCAAAATACAGGTAAAATGCATTTTAAGTCAGGCATTTGATTACCGAGGAAGACTACAGTCCGAGAGTAAGGTTTTTAATGACTCCCATGCCTGCCCTTACCCTCTTCCTCCAGAATGTGAGTATTAAGATAACTAGAATTTAAGAGAGCCTACAGAAGCATAAGCATCAAGTGTTGAAGCTCTTCGGTTTGGCTCATACTGGACAGAAGTACTCTTCAAGATTACCTTTGTCCATTTCAAACTCCAGGAGGAAGAAAAGTGCAGTTTAATGATTTTTTTTTTTGTGTAACTAGAGGCCACACCCAACACAAACTAGTGACAGGAAAGCATTTTGATTCAAAACTCTACAACAAGCATCTAACCCGAGGCAAAGTAAAACTTTCTCATTTTCAGGGAAGAAAAGAAACTCTTGCTCAATAAGTAGCAATTATGTTGTAGAATTTATATGCTGAGCACGACTGAATGTAAGAACACCAGATCAGTCAACCATAGCTTTAGCGCTTTTGAGTATGATTAACAGAATGAACTTTCAAAGGTCAATTAAATGTCAACACATTTTAAAGAGATATTCTTCTTAAGTTTGGTCAATGTGTAATGGCACCTTCTAAATCAGTAATGCCAGTTTTATATTAAAATTCTATACACCCTAGATTTGTGTATGCACATACAGGATACATAACCATTATTTTCTATAGGAGATTAATTAGTATTTACATTGTTGGCTTTAGTATTCCTAAGCTGTCTTTTATTAGCTGTGTTTAATCAAGTATACCAAGACGCTCTTTTTCATTTCATTCCAGCCCTCAGGGGGGGAAAAAGTTAATTTTGCAGTTTGAAAGCCTAGAAGTTTACAACATAAGAAGGATGAGTTTTGGTGCATAACCAACCATGACAGCCAAGTACAACTTACAGGAGAGGACACTACTAAATTTTGGATGAAAAGTATGGGGACGGGATGCTGCCAAATTTTTGCCGAGTTAAATTGTCAAAAAGGTTATTTTACGAGATCAAATATATTTGCCTTTATATCTTTGGGCATCAGTTGGAGGAGGCACATTAGAAAAGGGACCCAACGGAAGATTTTTTTTTTTTTTTTTTTTTTTAAAACACTTTTTAAAATATCAGGCCCCTTTAAAAATATCTGAAGTTGAACACCCAGAAAGAAAAAAAACAACACTAATTACTTTTTTTAAAGCAGTCGTTTATCTTAGTCCAATACCTCATGAAATGTGACCCAAATCCTGATTAAGATCTCCGTATGCTCCCGTGGTACGTACAAGTCTCATGTGAATAAACGCTATCATCCGAAAGACCTTCAGTGTAAGTCAAGAACTATTAAAGGATTTTATGGGTGAGGGGAAACGGAGCAGAGACAAGAGAGTGGCTTGCTCTGCAACGAGGAGCAAACCTTGCCCCTCCCCAATCATATGGGGGTAACAGCATCAAAACCAGGCCGATAGAGGAATGGCTAACTCCTCATCTAAAAAAACAAAACAAAAACAAAAACCCAAAATAAAACAACCCCCCCCCCCCCCAAAAAAAAAAAATAAACCCAGGTTTTAGGAAACGTCTTTCCGCAGGGCCGGCCTGGGGGACGAGCGCGGGCCCCCGGCACCCGAAGTGCCAGGGCCCGCGGGCGGGAGGCTTTCAGCGCCGGGTGCGAGGCGGCTGCTCAGGGCGCGCTTCCCTCTGCCGGAGCGCGGGGAAACGGACTGGGAGAAAAGTTGCTTTCAGCCCCTTCCGCCGTGTCAGAAGGAGGGGGTCGCCGGCGCCTCCCCCGTGCCCGTGCCGCGGCGGTGGGGCGTCAG